GTAATTGGTGTATCGTTTAGTTGCAGTAAAGCAGAGATCATTACAATCGTATGCTTGTAGTTAGCCATAGCCAGAATGGGGAGTCATTTAGCTGCCAATATGAACCGATGGGAAATCGTATTACTTGAATGTTTCATTTTCATGTGTTGATTGTTAGTTATTTAGAACGCTCTTTTAACTTCTAGCATCCTGTTATCAATACTGATAAATGTATAAATGCCCTCGCGAAGTATCAGTGTAGATGCGTCAATTTTAAGCGTACGAAAATTGGTTTGAATCGCTTACATCGCGAACTATCCCCAGACTGACAATTGATCCACGAGAGCGAGAAAAAGTTTTCGCATATCTGCAGTACATTAAGGTAAGGATTACTTGAACTTTTTCACTCGTGTTAAAAGTATTGCACGGTTTGGCAATCACTTACATTTGCATTGTTTAGTTATGAGCTGTTACTTTAATGTGCTCATTAAGCAGCATCTGACTGTTTTTCTTTCGCATTCGAGTCGTGCTCATGACTGTTTTTACGTGTTGATAAACTTGATGAGCTCGCGATATATCTTTTAGTTAATTTGAGGGTTAGAGAAGTAATCGTAATCAAATGACGAGCCTTAACATGCAGAGAAGTTTTTGTTGAATATAAATGATTGATCGTGATGTATATTTGAGCATATAGTTTCGTCACATCGCGTCATTGTGGCTACTTCCTTTCATTTGTGAGCATTCTGCAGGAACTGGTATTTATTATCCCGTTTTAAGGTACTCTATCGCTCACAGCAACTCTGCGCTCATTTGCCATGCGATATGGCTCAAAGTTACTTGCTTGATGAACTTGACAAGTTACCTAAAAATGAAGAAATTAGTGCAATTTTTGCCAGTGAGTTTAATGTTTTTCGCTCGTCAATTTCGATGATAATGAAGGAGTTTTAAAGTTCAACTCGAACGACAATATTGTGACCGTTACGGTTCGTTTTACAGGTTCCAATTTGCGTATGCGGCTTGATGGACAACAATACAGAAATGCCCTTTACGAAAAATTATTGAAGTTTGTTTTTTTCCTCCATTCCGCTTCGCTTCTTCTCGAAGCGACTGATGATAAACTTATTCGATGGCACAATTTCTATGATAAGTTTGTCGAAGACATGACTCTTGGTTTCAGCCATTCGGCTAAAATCTATCCATAATTCGTTCCACTTTACCCAAGAAATTTATATCATTATATTTCAACGTTCCGCAGTGATGAAGTTCCTTTTCTCTGTTCGGAATTTTCGATTACATTTGCAAATGGATTGTCATTTTATAAAGTTGAAAACGCGATAGACAGTGGATTACATGTGTTCGAATGTAAAGGATTTTAGAAATAACTGAAAATTTTCATTTTAAGTGTAATTCGGGACGAGTTTCATAATAAGCCTGATGGTCGTGTGATTGTATTCGTACGAACTCGTGAGTTTGCATGCCGTTTGAGTAGGGCGTTCGATTCGGATCAGGTCCTCAGCGGTTTGAATGTCCGGACTAAAATGATTACGGGTTTGTTCCATTTTCTGTGCTCATCAATTTTGTTTCTATTTCATTCACATTCCACTCGTTTTGTTTTCATCTATTTTTAACAATTTACCAATTTGCATTTACGACCTTTATATTATATCTTCATCTAATCACATGGTGCATATTTATGGTTGAATACACTCACAAGCTGTTTTAATATCACCTCTCTGAGCAGTGATTTCGTTCTGTCCGATTTTGTTCGAAAATCTCCTAAGAGTGTGTAATGTTTTCATCATATACGAGAGCCTCCTTCAGCCCATACGCAAATTTTCGCTAGCCATGTGCAATGCAGATATGCAGATCATCTCAGCACTTCTGGTTAATCAGCAGCATTCTAAAGCTGCCCACTAACGACAAACCACTTCAAGGTATCAATGTGTCATGTGAGGAAGGTGGACAGAATGCGAATGTGCAACGTGATAACCTAACGGACTTCGCGAACGGCAAAGTGAAAGTGCTCTTTGCAACATCAGTGGCCGACGAGGGGATTGACATACAGAAATGTACACTTGTTATCAAGTATAACTATACAACAAATGAAATTGCGCATGTACAACGAAGAGGTACGTGCCACTTTTAAGCAGCACTTCAAGCGCAGCACACACACACACACATCTTTTGATTCAGTTAAAATTGCCTCTCCAAATGATTGTATAACGAGAAACGGAATCTATGTTGTATACAAAATGTATTCATCATCAGATGGCTAATTCACTGATGTGTGGATGCTGATGACGGTACGTTGTAGGCCGAGGAAGGGCTAAAGATTCAAGATGCCTACTGTTGACACATGATAAGAAGCTGAAGGAACGTGAAGACCAGAATATCCTGCGAGAGAGGTTGATGAATATGGCTCTGGAAGTGATCGATCGTCAATCGAGCACGTGGTTTAAGCAAGAGGTATGAAGCAGAATTCGTAATCTTTAACGATCGTCATTGT